TTCAGGGAGAGACTGCAGTTGAGGTTTGAGGCTGCTCTGGTATTACCATATACACTCACAGATTCACAAAAAAATACTGTCACACCTCATACTGGCTGTGCTATGAATATCAATGGTTGCTCTCCTTTTGGACTCTACAAAACAGACAGTGAAAAATGTTCATGCATGACAACGTTCCACCTGGCCCACTCCATATATCCAGATTAATGGGATAATGAACACACAGTATAAAGGAATTGTGCATGACACCACCCTGTTATACACAATGCATGACTTATGTGACTGATTTCGCTCCTTCAAGGGGCTTTTTTTGGGGGGGTATCGGTTTCAAGTGGTGTGTCTGTGACATTCCAACAAGTCACCTTGACAGCGGTGTGAATAATTTCGGTAATAAAAACAGAAATTGCAGTCACTCAGAGCTTGAAAATAGCAACTGTACCGTGTGAAATATTCAGAGTAAATATTGTTGTGCATTAATGTGGAAATGATTTTGCTGACACATTTACAGTGTTCACACCCCCTCTTGGTTTCAATTCTAGCGACTTCTGAGAGAAAATCCTTGCTTATTGCTAATGGGCCAACTCAGTTTCCATCCAGAAATAATAAGAACATAAATTGGTGGAAATGTGTCTCTAGGTGTGCAAGATCCTTGAGGGATTACTTTCTCTCTTTTTGTTCTTCTTGCAAGTTCATACCCACTTCACAGACACAGCTGGAGCTCTTCTGACTGCTCTTTTGTCTTTTTTAGAGCAATTGGCAGAGGTGCCCTGTTCAACCATCCAGGTGCTGAGCGTGGCACAGACAAGAAGAAGAACCCTGTCAACCTTTCTGATACGCTTGCCTGTGTTTGAACAAAGACGATGCCTTCAGACAGGCATAATTGAAGAGATCATGCAGTACCTGCATATTCTCCTGCCAGGCAAATTCCAAGACTTCACAGCTGTGCAGGGAAACTATCCCGTGGAGAAACGACAAAAACAAGGAAACATAAAAAATCACAAAGGCAATAAGAAGCGCTGAAGCTAAATCAGCTATGTCTTTGTGGGAAAGAATGGCCCTGATGGTATTGACAAGGGAGACCCGTTGTGTTTTTCGATCCCCATTCAGAGCCAAACACTCCACAGGATGTTTTGAGATGGTCTACAAAGACATGATTAAATAGAAAATAAATAAATATTTATAACAAAGCCAATGCAGAGCCAGATGTTACTGTTAGTTGCTTTCAGAATAAAACTATCCCCGAAGATCATTCACTCTGACAGGCATCAGGGTGAACACACACAAAAACACACTCAAAAACCTGCAAAGTGAACAGCACATAATCCATCAAAGCTGACTCCTCAACTACCTGGTGACCAGAAATGTTTATGAGGTACATTGTGACACTTCCCACCGGATTAACCCCCCACAATAGACTATGAGCTTATCTTACTGTAAGGTGTCGCTGAAAAAGGTGGCCACAATGTTTCTATTTGCGGTAGATAAGATTCCTTTGATAGCATAAACACTAAGTTACTCACTGAAGGCATTCAAATGTCAAATTTACATTGGTATCAGGGGGGAAAGAAACTGGGCAGTTCGATTACAGACTCATGGGAGATGCTTTTTCACGACAACCATGTTTTTAATCAGTTGAATACAATCTTTTGAACTGAGTAGTTGCTCGGATGGATGGATGGATGGAAGCATTGATGGATGGATAGATAGATAGATAGATAGACGGATAGATGGATAGATAGACAGACAAATAGACAGATAGATAGACAGATAGATATATAGATTGATAGATGGATAGAGAGATAGATAGATAGACGGATAGATGGATAGATAGACAGACAAATAGACAGATAGATAGACAGATAGATATATAGATTGATAGATGGATAGAGAGATAGATAGATAGATAGATGGATAGATGGATAGATAGATAGACATATAGATAAATAGATAGACAGATAGATAGATAGACAGATAGATAGATAGACATATAGATTGATAGATAGATAGATAGATTGATAGATAGACAGACAGATAGACAGATAGATAGATGGATAGACTGATAGATAGATGAATAGATAGATGAATAGATAGATAGATAGATAGACAGNAGATGTTTGGGACAGAGTGGGTGCCCCGTGGAGCCGCCAGGCTCGGATGGATGGATGGATGGAAGATTGATGGATAGATAGACGGATAGATGGATAGATAGATAGATAGACGGATAGATGGATAGATAGATAGACATATAGATAAATAGATAAACAGATAGATAGATAGACAGATAGATAGATAGACATATAGATTGATAGATAGATAGATAGACAGACAGATAGACAGATAGACATATAGATAGATAGACAGATAGATAGACAGACATATAGATGGATAGACTGATAGATAGATAGATAGATAGATAGATTGATAGATGGATAGATAGATGAATAGATAGATAGATAGACAGATAGATTGATAGATGGATAGATGGATAGATAGATAGACAGATCGATAGACAGATGAATGAAATGTAACAGATGGATAGATAGATAGATAGATAGAAAGATAGATAGATGGATAGATAGAGGCTTCTAGCACTCCAGCTATTAAACATTTCAGGCTGCTGTATTCTGCTCATTAGCAAAATCAACAGAACAAAAACAATCACTAGTATTTAATTACATCTTCTTATTAGCCAATTAATTCTGACCTAACAGAGGTTAAGCATGTTGTTTGAATGCATTTCACGGGACACGCAGTCTTTTTGTGATTCTCTTCTGATAGCGCGTTTGCTCGCCGAAAGCCCCAAGGGGTTCAGAGGTCATGCTCAGTTACAGAACGACTCCTCTGGAGGTGTCAGGGACTCCATGTGTTGCTCAAACACCGTTCATCAGGGCAGATCCTATTCCTTTGCATGCTAGCGTGCACCCCCCTATTAACGATTCTCATACACAACTTGCCACATACAATCGATCATTGATACATGATATGATCCACATAAATGCCCTCATATCAAGCGTAATTACTCATATCAGTGTGAGCTGCACTACCCTTGTATTGATGTTATATTCCCATCTGCACTAATTAGACCTTTCTGTGTGCGAGTAATGCAACACTGGCAGGGCACATGCTCTCTTGCATGAATAACACAACTATTCGGAAGAGTGGCGTTGAATGCATCATTCCCTGTGAAGAGTAATAGACAGGCCAGTTTGGAGATGGATAGCTGGAGAGGGGTCGTACAATTTGGAGTGCAAACATGTTCAAAACTGTAGCTTCAACAAGCTTTTTAATGGCACTGAATGACAGCACTGATTCAGCACCATGGACAGTGACACAAGGCAAACTGCACTGCTTTATTCTCTCGTTCTTTTCCCCTCCATCTGTTCACATTGTTTTTGTGAAGGGGAGAAAGAGTTTTTTATATTGTGCAACGCTCTAAAGGCTGCTGCGTGTTGCATTCCAGCATGCTGCTATCTTTTTAATTATTTACCCAAATATGCCTTTGATCCGAGCACCTGACCAAGCTTCTATTTTCTTTCCAGATTGTCCTTCTAAATAAAGCAGGCGAGGTTTGAAAAGTACCAGGGAGTAACAAGCTGGAGAAAAGAAAAACACATGAAGACACATCCAAACACATTGGACTTGTATGTGATGATAACCTTAGGTGACAGTGTTTTAAAGTCCAAGTGCAAGTGATGTACACAGTGTTATTAATAGTTTATGATTAAAAGGTCTCGTAAATATACCATGGAATTAGACAAGCACAGCAGAGAAATACATTAAACATGAAGAAAATATGATTATTATTGATAACCGAGGGGTAACAACTGTCTAAATATGACTATAATTGTTATACCTTATAGGTTGTGACATTCATTTGTTATTTGGGAAGCATCCTGCCTGAAAAAGAAGAAGTAATTTAACTACATGTTAGGATCTATGGCATAGTTTGGAGGTATCCATGAGCAATACATCAAAACCAATTCTCCTGCTCTAAATAATAATGCTACAATTATGACTCAAAGCAATGGTTTTTCTCTTGTTTAAAATGCATGTAATATTTAGAATGTTTTAAGTATTTATGGTTAGAAATCCTCCAATCTATAACATATAAAAGTGTTATATAAATTAGACCAGTGGAGCACAGCCGTGGTTCTCAGTGCTCAGGGATCACAGTTCTGTTGGTTTTCTACCCTCGATGTGGTAAATAGCATTCACCTGGGTGGTGTCTCACTTGTCACATACTCCCAGTTAGATGGTTAAAATGAAACCCAGCAGGGCCCTGGCTCCTGAGGTCCAGGACTGAGAACCTGTGCTGTAGAGAACATTTCTACAAAGCCTCACAGCAGTGTCTTTCAGGAGTTAGACCTCAGGACCTACAGCCCTGCTGGTTTCTTTCTTAACATCTGACAGGGACTTTCTCACGCCCAGTACGCCAGATGAATGCACTTATTTAGCCTCACACCTGCGTCCAGAAGACCTGAAGGTTATGAGGACAGGGCTCTTTGGTAACATATAGTACATCTTCTATTGTGCAACACGAAATAAATAATGTATTTCTTCTTTATTATTACATTACATGTTAGACGCTTTAATCCAAAGCGGCTTACATACTCAATACTCAATGCAGTGGGGTTTGAACCTGTGACCCCCTGATCCGAACACCAACACACTAGTCCACTGCGCCACACGCCTCCAAAGCTACCTACATTCACTTCAATACCGTACTTGATACAGACATCTTGGGATAGACCAAAGACCCTCTGTCACAGCCGTTCCTGTTGGGGAAATATTTTCCAAGACCCATAACTTTGACCCAGTTTATCAGTTTACACTGACCTCACTGAGCACAGACACCTGTAGCCTTGGCTGCTGTGCTCTCAGTGTTTTGACTGCCTGTTCCTGCCTGTTGGCGTCAGCTGATAGAGGTGTTATGCTTCTATCTTGTTATGCACAATGTTGATTATTCTCTCAGAATAGCTTAATGCATGAGTCTGGGGTAGAGTTCTTCAGAATTGATTGTGGCATCTCAACCGTGTGGTCAGATCGTGGCCCGTGATATGTCGTGTGAATTCTCCGGCCGAAGCTATATAAACCGTCAGTGTTTGCAATCAAAGCTCCAGCTGTCCATCGTGTCTCTCTGAGTCCTGACTCCAATTGCTTCAGCAGTTTCCCCCACAGTTCCCAAATTTGCAGCTTATCCTTTTGGTATTGGTTGCTATTGGATATGCACGTAAGCCATCACATTAGTCACATATTTTCTAATTTCAAATGGCAGTGCTGGGTTAGAAATCCAAAGGAATAAAGGTAAATAAAGCACATGTTTTAATTCTGATTACCAGATGCTTTAGATATTTTAACATATGCATGTTTAACTTCACAACACGTTTAACAGGGGCTCTACAAAGCTACTATCCCCTCCAACAATGAGCCCCAAATTTGCTTTGTTGCCTAAATAAACGAATTGACCTGACACAAGCAGAAGAGTAGCACTAATGCTGTCATCGCACATTCACACTGTTTAAATCTCCCAAGCTTTCCACCCTACACAAATGTTTATATTCTCACTCTGCCCTGTGGGCCCTCAGTCATCCTGCCATCTCATTGGCCCTCGGCCGCGCTCATTATGCAAATTGGGCAGTGGGCGTGGTCTGTGCATAAGTGTACGAGTTGACGTCACGGGCAGAGTTGAAGCAGTCGGGGGGACAGGGGGTGGTTGAAAGAAGAAACACAAATGAAAACACATAAAGCATAAGCAAAATAAATAAGGCTGATTCCAAACAAGGAGGCTGTTAAGGGAGAGGAGAGAAAGAGGAGGAGTGAGGAAGATATAACAAGGGGGGGGAGTGTGCACTGTGCAGTTGACTACAGAGAGGAGAGAGAGAGTGAGCGAGAGAGGGAGAGAGAGAGCAGCTCGCCGGCCCATTGAGGAAAGATGGCTACAGTCACTGCAAACGGAGTGCAGCAAGAGAATGGATTCAGCACCACGAACAGCGCCGGCAGGATGAACGGGCTCAGCATCGGCCAGAACACCATTCCAATGAAGGACCACGACGCCATCAAGCTTTTCATCGGGCAGATTCCCAGAAACCTGGAGGAAAAGGACCTGAAACCCCTGTTTGAGGAATTCGGAAAGATATACGAACTCACTGTACTGAAAGACAGGTTTACGGGAATGCATAAAGGTTGGTTATTTTGATATCTTTACTTTTGTTTTAGCCTTCAAGGAGCACACACACACACACACACACACACACACACACACACACACACACACACACACACACACACACACACACACACACACACACACACACACACACACACACACAGGCTATACGCACATATATGAGGCGTGAGAGGGAAAACACGTGGAAGTGAAGTGCAGGGTTAATTGTAACGCGTCCAGCCGATCCACGTGAATACTACAGCTGAAAACGCCTTTGTGTGTTTACATTGAATCTCATGTGCGGAGCATCCCAGTTAAAGGGGGGCGGGACAGGCAAGTGTTATTTCAGATGCAGACATATCTTCACAACTAAAAAAACTAAAAATCTGCATCACAGTGTGCTGGTTGTTACGCGAGATAAATAAAATGCTCGCATGGGAGATGACAAGTGCGAACCATTATCAAGCAATAAGCATCCGTGATTAAGGTGGTTGTGCTGGCATGCTGCTTTGACCTTTCAGAGGGATAATATGTAAGCCTACTTTTCGGACGTCATTATCTGTGGAAAATACGCGGCAGCTGTATTGTAATGCTGCTCCGTGGGCGGGTTGCAGTCAGGAAGTACAAAGCAGGATAATAGTAGAGCCTGGGATCCAGCGTGCATCGTCTTCTTGTTCTGTCCTCACCCCGCTGTCACCCCCATTGTCCAAACCGGGCGAGATTAGTGTTCACTTAGTAATTAGTCAGGGATCAATTATAATGATTGTTATAATGGTGAATGCTAGAGTGGGGCTTTTGTTGGAGGGCGTTTTAGTTAAACAAAAAAAAATCCAATACATCAAAGTCCAACTCTAGACACAATTTATATGCACTAATCCTATTACATTTGTACACTTAATTGTGATGCAATTATAAAAGAATAAACCCTTAAGGTAAATAAAATGACCACATTTTCATTTACAAGTTTTTTTTACAAGCTTTGAATTTCACCAGTGTTTCTATTAGTGGATTATTTTGTGATGGAAGAAACATTGAACAATAATTACAATGTAATAACAAAAGTAAGTATTATTACTATTATTAATACAATGTATGACTTTTAAAGCCTGTATTTAGTAGTGTTTTTAATCTGCATTTTATTGGACTGGAACGCAGCAATAAGGTCACTTTTCCAGCACTATCAGTGTCCTCATAAGCAGGCTGTCCCACACTTTAATATCAGCATAAGTATGGTTTTATATTAGCTGCTGCTGCTGCTGTTTGTGATACATTATATTTTGTAGATGGCTCCAAATTATTTTGTAAGATACAATTGAAAACATGAGAGAGAGTCACACACATATTGAATTCCCCTGCAGTTCACTCAGTGAAACCGAACCTATTATCAATGCAGGCAAATTATGTATGATATGTTAGTCAGTGGCTACAGTTCATGATCCTATTGATCGGCGGAAGTCAAGCGCTCTTGTGGGAGAATTGAATGTTGGCTCAGCGTGGATGTCTTGTGTGTGTAGCCTCCGAAGGTCTCCATGCACCACCTGTTCCTCCAGCCATCAGTCGCTGGTGCCTCCTCTCCCGTGCTCCTCTTCAGAGCACGGTGATCGATTAAAACAATATTTCTGATGTTCATGTTGTTTACGCCTGTCCTCGACCATCCCTGAATGTCAACACTCTGGAGGGTGGCTGCCTCGGGACGCATAATCCTGTTCCACCGCATGCCCGTTCAAATCATACTCCTCCAAGGCCACTCTGATGCATGCATTATGCCCACTTCATCCCGCATGACATTCAAAGTCACTTTGGGAGCACGAGCATGAACTTTTAATACGATTTCACCAATGCATTATAGGGATGAGTTTTTCTTATTGGCCACTCACCTCAACCGTGTTCATGCCTCCTGCTGCGTCCATGTGTGATACCTGTAGACCGAAACAAGACAGTACAAGAGAAGGAAAATAGGAGTGTTAACAAAACAACAAGGTGTATTGTATCATGTGCTGTGTTTTCAAGGAGAGCTGGGAAAAGGTCCAATCTGAAATCGAGGAAAGCTTTTGTAGGGGAATTAAAGGTAAAATTAATTACTCAAAGTTTTTGGGTTGCACCAAGGTCAGTACAGCACAGCAGTGTTCTACATCACTAGACTTATAACGTTTCATTTAATTGTGATTTAATTTGCAACCCCATCTCAAAGCCCACCTACTGGCTACAGTCCGCAGCTTCAAGCGAATCACACAGACGTCATCAATGTGATGTGTTACAGTGTGAAATGTTATTGTAAGTCCTCTTTAAAAACAGGCCGACACAATGTTACAATACTAATAATATTATTCAAATAAAATGTGGTCATGCTGTACTGTCAAACCTTTGCTCTCCTTTTAACCTACTAAAGTCAATTGGGATATCAAATCTGACATTGACAATGAAGTTAAATTGTGTGTTAAAGTTTTATATTCAAAGCATAGCATTACAATTCCAGTTAGAATATAATTTAACACTCATAGATCTCCGGGCTAAATCCAGCTCATAAATATAAATAGAGATGGATCAGAAATCAGATGGCACTTAACTGCCTCTGCATTATGTCAATTAAAAACACATGTTAGAGGGAAAACCACACTTTGATATTCATGATGAATCACTACCTCTTTGTTAAAGGGGTCACACTTGATGATGAACCCAAAGGCATTTACCTTTTACACAATGTTAGACGAGCTGATGAACATATTAGACCATTCATATATTTTCCCAAGGAGATACGAAGACTAAAAACAGAGCTAAAGTGAGACTGAGAACTCAACAAACAATCATCAGGTGGCCAGAAACGCTAATCCAAGTGAATTTAAATCCCAATCCTTTGACTCTGCTAGATGTATACATGAACAACTGTTTGCTAATACGTTTCCAAATCAGCTCAAAGTTTGATGATTTACTTTATTTTTGCTTCTCCAAATAATAAGGCCACATATAAAGAGCTATTGCGGGTTTAAGAGGATACCTACTGTAAAGAGTCAAATGACTTTAATGTTGCTGGTGGTCCATCACATACGATACGATACGATATACTTTATTGTATTTATTTATTCCGCATACATGTACATATACAAACATAGTATACATTAAGAGACATACACATATCATCAGTCATACACCGTTTGAACAAACATACTGACAATGGCGACATATTGCACAACCCTCATGGCCAACATTTAAAAAGTACATTTCATTACATTTGACTACATTTCAGTTCATGTGAATGTTAAGAAGCTTAATGGACATAGGTAGGAATGAGTGCTTATAGCGGTTTAGCCTGCTCTTGGGAACCCTGGATATTCTACTAGAAGGTAGGAGCTGGAATTCTGGGTGGAGTTTGTGCGTGGGATCAGACACCATTTTTTTTTTTTTTTTTTTTTGCCTGTCTGATAATGGACTGCTCAACATATAAAGGAATGTCTCAAAACACACATTGAAGTAAAACAAACCTAAAGTATTTTCGTTCTAATGTTGAGGATGTTGTGCTACTTATGCAAAGGGTTTCATTATTTATCCTGGATGGCGAGTAAGAGGCATCATTTAAACCTCTTTGGGTTTTGCACATCATCATGTCATATGAGAATAGTTGATCCCATCCAGTAGAAATCCCTCGGACGAGTGTTGTAATATCTTCACGACTTCACACACTGAACATCTAACAGCCCAGTACATAGTTTCATTCTAACCTGGTGTTGTTGTGCCTGGATGAATGGGATTAATCTACACAGAAAAGTGTTGTAACTGCTTCATTCTCTCCCTCTGGCTCTATCTTATACATGGTTTTGCAATAATCTTTTGTCCACAGTACATGTATTTGAAAAATAGTCTGTTTTCTATTTGCTTCACAAACACATAATATGCCAATGAATAGTTATTATGCCAAAATCCCAGGAGGATCCCGATGTTGCAACAAATTCAAATCACATTTTTATCATACACAGCAACAAACATTTTTCACAGCAGAGCGAATAGTGTGTGTGTGTGTGTGTGTGTGTGTGTGTGTGTGTGTGTGTGTGTGTGTGTGTGTGTGTGTGTGTGTGTGTGTGTGTGTGTGTGTGTGTGTGTGTGTGTGTGTGTGTGTGTGTAGAGTATAGTGTGTGTGTGTGTGTGTGTGTGTGTGTGTGTGTGTGTGTGTGTGTGTGTGTGTGTGTGTGTGTGTGTGTGTGTGTGTAGTAAGAGGAGGAGGAGGGGGGGATATAATCACATTGGCTCCACGATCCCTTAAAACATAAAGTTCATAAAGATTTAATGCATTGCCATACATTTACTTTGACTACGACTTTGAAACCCCTCTTTGAGCCCAATTTGTGTTTGAGATTTGATTTGCTCCGGATAGAGGATGTGGCTGCTGGCATCAGTTAGTAAAGCGTGTCTAATGGATGATTTGCAGCACTACCTTATTTTACAGCCCGAGTCCTGTGACACAGAATCGCACCATAATTATGGATTTAAGGGCAGATCAAAACATGTCATGTTTGCTCATGATTAATTCATATGGATTGTGCTGCATCACTTCCAACAGATGTGTTATGCTTTGTGACTTCTAACTTTGGGCCTTTCGGGGATCTCCTGGGACTCTTCTAAATATCTGGGGAATTCTGTGTTTCATATTTCCCTGTACACCTCAGTGGATTAGTGTAGCTGCATGATCCACTCAGAAAGGGTTTGTCTTTTAACAGATGAGCCTCGTAGCTGTTAGACGCTGTTGCCTTTAATGTCGATTTGATAGTTTGTGCGTCGTCAGGGAGCCTTCTGCAGCGCGTGGGATGACTTGACACTATTGGCGGACGCAGTGCTTGTCGAGCGTTGTGCAGCCAGGTCGTGCTGTTTAACATCCATCATTCCACTGAGCACTACATTATCATAATACTTAGTGTCAGTGCCAGAATGCATGCATTGTTCAGACATGCTGAATGTTAGTGGGGGGCAAATCTTTTGCTTGAGTAGCGTTATCTATCAATCCGTCTCTGATGCTGAGAGGAGGGA